GTTTTTGAAAAAGACACCTTTACTTATTTCTTTAGAATTTTTTTGTTATTGTTAAGCATTAATATCATCCTATTTTGATCAATAACTCTAAGACTACAGTGCAGATACTCCAAAATCGCCACAAAAACCAAGGGACTTCTGGTGATCATACTACAACAGTTGTTTATGAACAATAAAACTTTGCTTATTTTTTAGATTTTTTTTATTGTTATTAAGCATTAATATCATCCTATTTTGATCAATAACTCTAAGACTACAGTGCAGATACTCCAAAATCGCCACAAAAACCAAGGGACTTCTGGTGATCATACTACAACAGTTGTTTATGAAAAATAGAACTTTGCTTATTTTTTTAGATTTTTTTATTGTTATTAAGCATTAATATCATCCTATTTCAATCAATAGCAGGCACTCAAAAATCGCCACACACACCAAGGGGCTCTTGGTGATCGCACTACAACAGCTGTTTTTGAAAAAGACACCTTTACTTATGCTTAAACGGAGGAGTGTAGAGCCACAGTAGACATGTTAGATAATCAGCTAATGACCATCAGGTAAACTAAGCTCTGCCTGAGCTTTAAAAACTCAATAAAAGTCTGGAGTTTTTCAAACAGCCGTAGTCTCTGACCCAGAGTTCGCCCAAACTGTTGATGAGCCACCTTTAAAAAGTCATCAGCAGATAAAATGTGTGTAATAAGGCACAGCAGGCAGCCTCTGTCACTGAGGGCTGATGGATCTGTTAACACAGCGCAGTCTACGGCGAGCACCATTTTATTTGGCATTTTGTTCTGCGGCGCTTCACCCCCCTCCAATCCCATCTTTTATTCATGAAGTCACATTTACATATTCATTAAAACAAATGTCAGCAATCTTAGGAGCGCTGTTGTTTTTCAGAGAGGGTTATTACTGCAGATGTTTTCTGATGTTGCATTAAAATGTCTCCTCTTAGTTAACCCCCTGCTCCGCCTCCCGTCTCTGTTGCAGTACAACAGCTACTTAGAGTTTACAAAGTCACTTCCTCTCAACCCGTCACCGGAGATCTTTGGCATGAACGCCAACGCAGACATCGCCAAGGACCAGGCCGAGACGCAGCATCTGTTTGACAGCATCCTGCTCACTCAGGTAACGGCACACCCAAAGCTGAACCATCAGGGCCTGATGAACGTTTCATCACTCACCAAGTATGCAAAGCAGCATTATTAAATCTAAGGTTTGTGAGTTCAACACCTGAGCATGAGCTGGAAATCTAATGCAATTTATATAAAATGTATCATCACACCCTTTTGATAGATGGAAAAAAGCATCTGGCAGTGGAGTTTTGTACAGGACATGGCTAGTTTAGCTTTTAGTCTTAGTTTATGAGTTTTTTTACTTCTTGAACATGTTTTTAACGTGTTTGAAATTAAAGCTTTAGTATTCCAGAGGCAGACTTTACCAATTTCAAACAAGAAGTATGAATGTTTACATTTGATCACTGCTGCACTTTAAGAAAATGGAAATGTCATGAGAGCTGTACGTTTTGTATAAACTCTGTGAGTACAAAATGACAATAAATGTTGTCTAACTCTGAGTCACTACTATGGTGGAAACTTGAATTCAGTTTTTAGTTTGTTGCAGTTTCCATTGGTATGAAAGCCTTAAAGGAATAGTACACCCAAAACATGATTAGCCTTCATTTTCTACTCACCCCCATGCTGAACAACACTCTGGAGTACTTTTTTGATATCTCAAATGCATCTGGAGATCTGGGAGGCTTCTTGCTGTCTGCTGACATTCAAATAATGGAGGTCTATGGCGCCAGAGGCAGAAAGGTCCATAAAAGTCCACAAAAAACGTGTCAATATTCCTCCATACTGCTCGTCCAATGTATTCCAAGTGTCCTGAGTGGGTAGCGTCCAGAATTTACTCGAAACGAAGTCATTTAGAATGTGTTTAGAGCATAAACAGTAGTGTATAGGATTTCCTGAAAGCGCGTTCACGACGCTACGGAAACCGCGGCAGACCAAACCAGATGAAAGTGCGCATTCAGCGTCTGCTCTGCCGATAATGCAAGCGTAGAGAAGAAATGTGCTGTTTACCTGTGCAAAGAAAGAAACAACGAAAGAAAAATGTCTGAGGACTTCAGTGTTGAGGAAGAGCATGAGTTCTTTGCCGAGCTGAATGCGCACTTTCGTCTGGTTTGGTCTGCCGCGGTTTCCGTAGAGTCGTGAACGCCGACCTTTTAGTCCCGCCTTTGAAATCGAGCTCTAACAGTTCTTTACCAGACAGAAATGGCATATATTCATCATATCAGTCTGGCTGGCCATGCTATCTAAACTGTGCGAAGTTCAGCTACTCGTTCCTCACCTTTAATGGAATCAACAGTAAGAATCGTTCTGTTGAAAGCAAAGGAACTCCAGAGTGCTGTGCTGAATCAGGGCAGATCAAGGCTTATTGTCCTCAGGAGACAGAAAAGCAGATGTATACCTTATAAAGGTGAATAGATTTGCACGTGTCACTCGATAACGCAAGAAAAAATGATGTAGGATCGGAATTTTCAGTTTTACTTTCTTATATTCTTACTCTATGAAATAAAGGAGACTGTTTTTACGTGTTATGATGGCTTTTCTGCAACACCAACAGTAAAACAACCGTAAAGCTCCGCCATTTTTATTCTCATATTTTTTCCAAAAACAACAGAACTTCCTGCCAACCCTACAGAAGCCTAAACAGTTGGCAAAGTGCGTCTAAATCAAATCTGACTCATATCCAACAAATGAAAACAGAAATATGTTCTAAACTCAGAAAATCAAATTTCACATATATTTTCTATAAATGAGGCTTAAAAATGTGTTTTTGTTAAGCTCTGTGAGGCTGGCTATACCTATGCAGCCTGTAAGGCAAAGGATGGAGGGAGGCTGGAAGGCCTCTAAGCTCCAGATAGGAATGTCAGGATGTCCCTTTGCTAAATTAATAATCAATAGACGCATCCTGCTTCCTTTTCCTACCTCCTTCCTCACTGCCAACACTACTCGGACAGCGCTTATCATGGTGACCACTGACGCACCTCTGCTTTAGCTTAAGAGACCTTATTGATTTGCCCTATTCAGATGGACTCAGACAGACCCAGAGTCCTTCTGGGAAGGCCATCCAAACCTCTGATGTCAAACTAAATTTAAATTGATGGACTTTGACTAAAGCTGCTCACTTTATCAAATTACAGTCCTCATCACATCATAAATGTGTGCAACATTTTGAAGGACAGAAAATTTAGTAGGGACATGCTTGCCAATTCTCAACATCAGTAATAAATTGTGCTTATTAGACGGATTAACATAACATTCAATGCCAGATCTTGCTCTATAATTTTATTGGCGGGGATTCTAGAGCCATTGAATGTTGGACACATTGTGATGGAGCGGGAAGAAATGAGTCCACAGCGGATTAATCATCAACCTTATCACGTTATTCAACACTATTATCTTACATACGTGTTTTACTTAAATAAACGAGCCCTAAATATGAAGTTAGAACGATTCCAGAGGCTTAAATTATAAGCAAAAAATAATAATTTGACTACAGTGCTATAAAATTAGAAAAGTTTCACCATATTATGTAATAATATAATACATTCTTACTTCAAAATGTAATAAAACATGACTACAACCTTTTTTTTTAATGATTACCTTAAAATGTATTATAATCCAAGTTGCATCATATGATAACATTTTTTTACATTTTGCACTGTTATTTAAAAAATGTCAGTCCTCTTTAAAAAAAAAAAAACATTAACACACACAGGAGGATTTAGAAAACAAATTAACCTAACAGCCATGTTTCTGGACTGTGGGAGGAAGCAGGAGTACCCGGAGAGAACCCACACATGCTCAGGGAGAACATGCAAACTCCATGCAGAAAGACTCAGAGCGGGGAATCAAACCCAAATCCTTCTTTCTGCAAGGCAGCAGTGCTACTCACTGCCACTCCCAATTAATATATATATATATATGTAATAAATATGGTGTTTTGGATTCTAAACATTCAAACTGTTGTAATTTTGTTAAACTGCTATACTTTGGTGATTTAGTTTCTCATTTAGCTTAATTTACTAAGTAAGAACATCAGTGAACGTCTTTTTTTAATGCATGGACCAGTAGAAACAACTGATTTCCACTTTATTTTAATCAACTGGGCACAAACCGTGATAAACATTTCTGTTTTTGGCCTAATCTAGAAATCAGTGCTGGGAGAGACTTTGTGATGTTAGCAGAGCTTTACATTTTTTTGTTCTCAGGGCAGCATTAAAGCTTGGCTCTATGATGTGTCTATTACCAGCATGTCTTTATTTATATCTGTTTGCTTAATGTCCTCTTCTTTCCTATCAACACATGCTTGCTTTCTAAGCACAGAAAAGAAGTGGATGCTGCTCCGTCATGCAGCGCAGCTAAATAAACGCTATTTAGGTGATAACACAAGGAGTTAATCCACTGTTAATATTCAGGAGACCACATTAAGGTCATTCTACATTATTGTTACCATTAATCAGTGTAAATACACCTCTTTTTTCTACTTTTATTTTCAGCATACGAAACAAACTCTCTGCATTAAACCCATACATATCAGTGTAGAAGTGCAAGCTCTATATCATGCCATTCAGCAAAGTTACTACTTTTGGCATTTGACCAATTAGATCAGTGGTCCCCAACCACCGGGCCGTCATTTGGTACCGGGCCGCACAGAAAAAAAAAAAAAAAAAAAAAAAATTTTTTTTATTTTGAAAAATATAATAAATTGCGGTATTCTCTCCCAATTACATCAGTCGGTGCATCTCTGCCTCTTCACACAGGTTAATTCACTTCAAGACTCATCCTATCTATAACATCCTATCTTTGTGAAGCAGGATTTTCTGCAGTTACAGCGACCAAAACAAAGCTACGGAGCAGACTGGACATCAGGAGCAAACTTCGTGTGTCATTGTCTCCGATTACGCCACAATGGGACCGGCTTATTGTTTTATTTTTATGTTGTTTGTATTTGATTTTATGCCAGTCGTATCATTTTACTTGATCATATTAACCCCCGCCCTGCCGGTCAGCGCGCGGGGGAGTGGGCGGTGTAGGTGTTGGGTAAATACGATCAAGTAAAAGACGGTCTGCCGCCCCCCCGCCGGTCCGTGAAAACATTGTCTGTCATGTAGCGGTCCGTGGTGCAAAAAAGGTTGGGGACCGCTGAATTAGATGAATCTTTAAATGATATATTACCTACGGTAAATTAAGTTTAAAAAAAAAGTTAAGTCAAGAAAAAAGGATAAAACGCTAATTGAAAAGTTAAAAAGTAAAGTTAATAAGCCTGGTTAACAATTATATTTAGGTTTAAAAACTAAAAAAATGGAAGTACCAGTATAAGTATTAATGCCTCTAAGGTCATGTTGTACCAAAAAAAATGTGTTTCTTTCCCTCTGAGTGTTTTTCATGAATTTCCTATAGAAGCACTTTTGTTATTTTCCTCAACATATTCAAGTTTGTTGGGTTTTTGTTGTTCTCACATTGATATGTATTTTTGCCATCACATTTTTTTAATGTTAGAAAGGTCTTAAGGTCTTGTCTTGGATTCCTATAACAGTATTGGCTTGAAATTCTGATTTTTTTGAAAGTGTTTCACTGAATGCCCTATAAATGGTTAAGGGTCTTGCTCAGGGACCCAAAGTGACAGTCTGTTGGTCTTGAACTCACAACCTCGGAGACCCAAGCTCAACGCTCTAACCACTAGTCCATCAATACCCGAAACTCAAAGTTTCTGCTCCAATTTATGTCCAGTGAGACTCTGTTTAAGAAGGAGCAGCACCCTCCAGTGGACAATTGCAGCATTGCAACACTAAGCAAAAGTTATTCATTATTTAGAGGGAACAAATATCTTTTAATAAAATGATGAATGATAAAGATTCATGCTAACAATCCATAAATTTCACATTAATATTTCAGCTTTAAATGCAGAGATTTGTTCTAGAACTAAAATATTTTCCTTCCCCAGTGTGTAGCCTTCCCCAGAGATCTCGTTGGACCTGTGTGATCCCACATCATGATACCACAGCTCTGAACAGTAACTCTGGCTTGGCTTGTCCTACATCTTACCTTTCATTGCTGCTGCAAATCACATTTAAAGGATTTCACATTAACACCTGCTTGAAGATGAAAGAGGCGCTGCTCCTCCTTCACAGTTCTATCCCATTTATTTCTACATTCCCATATTTCCAGTCCAAAGCTGCTAGTGTTTGTTTCTCAGCTCTGCACATACTGTCAGCAGTTTATTTCCAAAGCTACAGACATTTGGTGCAACAGATAAATGGACAATTATCTCCGCACGCTTGGTGACTTCTACATTTAAAGTTAAATTTAGAGCTCCACAGACTCTGGGATTTATCCCTGTTAATTCCATTCAACAAGATTAATATCGGCGTCAGTCATGTGTGGACTTCATTAGCATCTAATACGCTCTCATCAGTCTCAATGATCGATAAACAGGGACACACTTAAACTGGAAAGAGGCAGCTATTTATCATTCTCCTACTGTAACCCGGCACCATTAGCCAATGATTATCCATTACCGCTGGCTGAACATGGTGTAGGTGAATGGTGCAAGTCAGAGTGAGAGGAAAGCGGAAGAATCAGAGATAGGAGTGAATAATTATCAGCATGAATGAGCCTTAGAATCGTTGATGAGAGTGTGTCAAATTGGCGTGTGGGAAGAAATTGGACGGAAAATGTTGTGAAGCTCTTCAGCTTCTGGTGTATGATTAGATTCTAACATTTTATTCCTGCCGGAGCTGCAGCTCCAGCTGCTGTCTGCAAATAAAGAAAAATAAAGTTAGAATTACTGTCACCCTGTTCCTTTTGAGCTAAGTTTAAATCACTCATCAACACGATGAAAGAACTTTGACCTTTTTTAACATCAGATACTCTGAAAAGGAATTCACGATTTGACACGGGAGAGGCATCAAATGATGGTTTTCTCCAAAAAGCCACGAGCTGTCACTTTAATGAGAAGCCACCATCTTCTGATAAGGCGCTCTGTGTCTCTGATCAGTCCCGCTCTGCAGGCAGAGACGCCAAATCCTCCGACGACATGGTGTTTGAAGTGGCAGCCGATATCCTGAGCAAGCTGCCTGCAGACTTTGACTTGGAAGCTGTGCTGAGGCGCTTTCCCACCAGCTACCAGCAGAGCATGAACACAGTGCTGGTGCAGGAGATGGGCCGCTTCAACAACCTGCTCTGCACCATCCGGGAGTCCTGCATCAACATTCAGAAGGCCATAAAGGTAAACACAACGTTTCTGCAGAGGGAAGCTGAGGGTTTTGATTGTTAAACTTTGTGCTTCTGCACTGATCAGGAATCTCTACTTCTAAGACTAAATATTCCCTGATTCTATTAAAGGCCTCTTATATAAATAAGTGGGTCCAAATCATTAAGACTTAAGGATCTTAAATTTCTGAAGCACAGAACCAATATTTTCTCATTATTTCCTCCCATCTGCTGACAAATTACAGAAAAACTGCTGGAAACAGACTCAAAAATCCAATACTGTAAATTAATTTACTAGTCAATGATTCATTTCCTGTGGATTAAATAACATTAGGGTTAGAGGAGGGGGGGGAGCCCATTTTAGAAGGAATTATTTGGGTCAAAATCATTCATTTTCCTGGGATCATAGAGGGGCTGTTGCTGGGAGATTCAGTGTGTAAACGGACTCATGAGACAACCAAGAAATGGTGATGAAACAGTTATCAGCAGGTACTTCAACCATACTGTAATTAATAAATCCATCGAATACAGTGAAGTTTAAGGAACTTAGAATTTTGCTGCAGTTTTATTCATAATACAGATGTTTTAATGTATAAAGATCTGTTGTCCACTAGTCTGAACATGTTGGCATGACGTTAGAGATTGA